AAAGAAGGATTGCAACAAAAAGCTTCCTCATACACACCTCCAATAACATCTCGATGTTGCTGAGCACAGTCCACCATGAACTGATCAGGATCACTCAGCTCCTGCAGCTATCGTGACAGCTCCCAAACAGACCATGCTTTTTATGCCAGAAGCCTGCTCAATGCTAGTGTCTCTCTGTTCAGAGATCATCACAATAATGTCACTGTTGGTCTGGATAATATTCCAGACAACATGTCACTGTTGGTCTGGATAATATTCCAGAACCAGTGTTACTGTCCTAACTCTTTTCTGCCTCTCTAGGATTTATAAATCTGAGAAAAAGAATGTTTGTCTTGCCATTTTCAAAGAGTATTTGTGCATATCACATTTTAAGACCACATTCCCCAAGCTGGAAAAAATTTTCAAAAACCACAGGTACTTTCAACAATCTTGTTGTTCAAAGTATAAAATTCTTACACATTAAAAAAAAATTGGGCTGGGGATGTGGCTCAAGCGGTAGCGTGCTCGCCTGGCATGCATGCGGCCGGGGTTCGATCCTCAGCACCACATACAAACAAAGATGTTGTGTCCACCGAAAAAAACTAAAAAATAAATAAATATTAAAATTCTCTCTCTCTCTCTCTCTCTCTCTAAAAAAAAAAAAATTAAATTGGAGACTAGTACCTCTGCTTTCCTCTAACAGAAGCACAGGATTCATACTACATTTAAAAACTAAATTTCATGCATATAAATGGCCAGAGAGGTATAAAGTTTACAGAGCCCTTAACATCATTCGAGTACATTTAGAATTGGCTAGACCACAACAGGAAGCATGTTAGCAAATTGGGCAGATAGACTTATCCAAGAGCACAACAGTCACATAAAAATTTAAGTCAGTCACATAAAAATTTAAGCAATGTGTAATTCTTTAAAATTGTCCCTAGACATTCCCTTCCTCCAACCATTCCCCTATCCCCACCCCAACCCAAACACACTGTGAAGTCTCGCAGTTCACGGAGTATCTTAATGTTCCCCATTACTAATGACAGCTACTTCTTCGGGTTCTGCTGCTGATGCAGGGAGCCTTGGCACTTTCTTAGCAGGGCTTGGAATATGCTCAGTTGCTGTATTTGAATGCACAAGTCCTCCTCCTTCACCCAAAGTGTCATCATTTGGAGAGGGGCAACGAGCTTATGTTCTTCTATGCTTTTCATTCACTCTAACTAGGTACCATGTTCCTTCAAAGAGTGAATCTATTGAACACTGGGATATATAGTTGGCCAAGTGATGAGTGTCCTCTCTGAGCTTCATGTTTTCAGCAAAGACATCTGGTGCTACACAAGTTCTTGAGTCAAGCCTTGATTTAAGATCACATAAACTTGCTGTTATTTTATCAAGAGCAGACCCTGGTGTGGCATCTTGTGTAACTTTAAGAGAGTTCAAGGTGGCAGCCAAACCAGAACCATAAGAGAACACTCCTATCCTCTTCCCTGCCAACTGCTGAGGAGAGTACTGGGCTAGAACAGAAGCAAGGGAACCATATACTGAGGATGTATACATATTTCCATTTTGATTTGATACCAGCAAAGATGCCTTTGTTTTCTGATTAAAGAGTTCAGAACTAGCCTTCATAAATGCCTTTTCCACATCTCTGTCAAAGTAAATATCTTCTAATTTAACATCCCCGAAAGCTTCCAGGCCACTGTAGATAGTATTTTTATCTCTGTTCTGGTCATTAAGGAAGTCATTCAGCATCATCCGAGCTAGAGATTTCTGAACCAGTTTGAGTGAAAGATCATGAAGCCAAAATCATTTAAGGTAAAATCTTTATCATTTCCCTCTTTCTGCCACTGGGCATGGATCTTTTTGCGGTAGACAGAATAGCAGCGGTCTAATGCACTGAGGTAGCATTGTATGGAGAGTTTTCCATCGACTATAGGATATTCGGAGACCATATCGGACTTGTAAAAATCATAGGCATGTTGCATATGTATTCCACGAAGCCCTCGGTCAAAAATTAAAGGAGCATTTGGCCCAATCAGCAAAGCCACAGCTCCAACTCCACCTGTAGGTCTGGCATTTCCTGTGGCATATATAGCAATATCTCCTGCAACTACCAGGGCATACAGTCCATCCCAAGAGCTGAACTCAATCCAGTTAACAGCATTGAAGACAGCAGCTGTGCCTCCATAGCAC